TCGCCGGAGCACAGCGGAGCCGCCGTGCCGGAGTTGCGATTTTGGCCGAAAGGGGCCCTGGGCCTAATTTGAGATTTTGTGGGAACACGTGGAGGTACCGTTAGTGCGTTTCAGTTCCCCGGGAAAAATTCAGGGAAAATTAGGAACAGCCTGTAGGCGCACTGTGAAGCCGTGTTCGGACCCCGAAACGAGTAAGGACCCCTCACCCTATTTCCTATCACGGTATTAAAGTTCAAAATGATAAAACAGTATTTCTTGAATTAACGAATGTGTGAAATTGCTTAAGGTGGCTAATGGAGCCCGAGTCTAGTGTGATTGGTGATTTACTGTTATTTGGCATGTTTACAGCTTTAAATGCAAAATGAGGTTTGATGTGTTCATTTTACAGATTTGTGTGCATATACTACGTTTTTATTAATTATGGGTTGAATGACTGAAAAAACTGATACTGTATGTTGTCTGTTTGGCATGAATTACGATTTGCTTGTTTAAATGTGAATTGATGATGCTGACTGAGGAAAAGGAAAATGAAAGATTGTGTAGACTGATAATTGTATTATGGGGGTCAGCCTAACTAGATATCCTGGGAGATGGTGGACGGACCGGGTCCGTAGGGAACCCTACCGGGATTGTGGTCTCACATGCCGGACGGGGTATGGAGATCTTATGGTTTTGGCGCCCATAACGGACGGGGTATGGGGACGGCCCGTTTCACCCTCATACCGGACGGGGTATTGAGGTTTATGGTTTTGGCGCCCATACCGGACGGGGTATGGGGACGGCCCTGGAAACTGATTATGAATGTTAAAGGTTAACGGGTAGCGGGACCCCTATGGACCCCCACGGATACTAGTAGGCTGGTAAATGAGAAAAAGATATGTTGTATAATGATTGAATTACAAGAGGCGTGATAGTTCCCGAGCCCGTTCCGCAGGAGGACGACGAAAGGGATGCCTAGAGACTCTGTAGTCATACTCATAGCTTTGTTTTCGAGTTTCTCTTTTAGTTAGTTTAACCTTTTATATTTTAAGTACGTTTTTGGTTTTCGTGTAAGGGATGTTAACTGAAATTTTGATCTCGCTTCCGCATTTGATATATTTAAATACTCATTTCATTTTAATATTTCCGGGGCCGTTACAGTGTTTCTCAAGTTCACTCACTTCAAGGAAATCAGTAGGTTTGGCAAGAGGGAGAAATTGAATCCCCGATTTATTAGACTATTTGAAATCTTAGACAGAATTGGTACCGCCGCCTACAGACTAGTACTGCCTCCAGAACTTTCCAATGTTCATAATGTATTTAATGTGTCCATGCTATGCAAGTACAACCCGGACCCCTCTCACGTTTTGTTCCATGAGCCTCGTTCACTCCAGGAAGATCTGTCCTATGAAGAAGTGCCGGTCAACATTGTGGACCGAAAGAGCAGATTGCTCTGAAACTGAAAAATTCCTTTTGTTAAGGTCCTATGGCAAAATCACACATCGAGAGAGGCCACATGGGAGCTTGAATCAGACTTCAGAGCCAAATATCCCCAACTCTTTGATTTAGAGTGAGAGAAACAAATTTGAGGGATCAAATTTCTTTTAAGGGAGGGAGAGTTGTAACACTCGAAATTTATTTATTTTTTATAATTTAGGATTTTATTATAAATATAATAAAATAATTTTTAATTATTTTTATTTTTATTTTTATTTTAATTTAGAGTAAAAAATAAAATAAAATTGATGGAGGATGAATTTGAAAGTAATTTTGGAAAAAATGTGTACAAATTTGGATTCTGGAGGTATTTTTGAAAGAAAAATCAGATTCCGGGATTGTTACAGAATCAAGCTTACCGGTGCTATTTTCGGGTTCCGGCACTGTGGCACCATCGTCTGGCTGAGCTCCCTTCGGCGTCCCTATCTTCTTCTTCTCTGATCAACCTAGTGGCTAGGGTTTGGGAGGCCGGTTGAATGAGAGGTTTAAATACCTCATTTCCCTCAATCTGGGCCGTCCATTCGAGCCCGCGTGGATCAACAAGAGCCGTCATATCTTTCCTATTTGAGCTAACTCGAATTCTCCTCCCTTACACGTTTCGGACCGTTCGATCGGTCAACCTCGCGAATCAGAGCTGTTGATCACGCGATTGTTGGATCTATCACGTGGGTGATCAGGGTCGTTCGTGTGAGTGAGAAGGTATCTGAATCGTTTGATCCCTCAGGCACGCGGATCCCCAATGTGGCTCCCCGCGTGGAAGGGTCTGGTAACATGCTTGCCACGTGGTGCGTCCTGATTCACAGCGCTACTGACGTGACCATTCTACGTAGTCTGTCTCCTTTAATTTGCAAAGTGGCTCGATTTTTCTAATTTCCTTTCAAACGAGTCCCTCCTTTTATTTACATATTAACTCTGATTTTTGAAATTTGTTTCAAAGTGACTCGAAATGATCTTTTTTTTTATATTATTAGTAGTATTTTAATTATTATTAATATTCTTTTATTATCACCAACGTAAATAAAATAAAATATTAATTTTTTTTAATTCGAAATTAATCATTCCAAAACCCAGAGTATTACAAAATACGTATTAAATACTTATATAAAGTTATAAAAATATAAAAATAAAAGATAACGACATTTTAGAATTCAAATATTTCACAAAACACCTACTAAAATAATTAAAATAAGTGAGTTTATTAAATTCTAATCACAATCGATTAAATATTTTGTAAATTCCGATCAAATTTATCAAATATAATCGAATAATTTTTTTTGACTTCTTAAAAATGGCATGAGATTCATTTAGAATTAAAATGAGATAAAAATAACAGAGTTAAAAAATATTAAATGCTTTTGAAATTAAATTCTAAGTTGATCTAAAATTAAAATTTTTTAAAATAATTTCTCCGAAATAAGATATAAATTTCATGAACTTATAATTTTAAGATTAATAATCCAAGTAATACAGTTTACATGCATGGTCCATTATACTTAGACTTCATAACATAGAAAAATTATTCTTGTATATATAAGCTACATGTTCATATGATGTATCTTTCAATTATTAATTAAAAAATTAGCTGTAAAATGGGAATTTGTAAAGTAATTTATATGAATTTACTAGTACATAATGAATAAAATATACAAATATATATATATATATGTATGTATGTGTGAAGAGATAACATCATTATCGGGAATAATATAAAATCGAGTCTCATTATGAGGTATCATATTTACTTTAATGATAATCAATTCTAGTATTATTTAATTTAATTTAAATAACTAATTAATATTTCCATAAATTTTTTAATCAATGTTACTAAATTCTTAAGTACCTTTAAAATATGTAAAAAAAAAATTTAAATGATTAATAATCAAACTTTATTATTTTACAGCTACTTACTAAAAATAAAAATTAAAAAAGTACAAATAAAAATAATAAGTGTACAAAATCACCCTTAACTTATATGATACTCTTCCATTTATTTTTTGAAAAATAATATACATATATATATATATATAAAGATAATAAAATTTTGTATAAGTTAATAATTATAATTTTTAAACGTACAATAAACAATTTTTATATTAATAAAAAGAACTGAGACGAATTTAATTACAATTCAATTAAAATAAATAAAAATATAATATTGTGTTAATATTTAAATTTTATTAACATTTTAAATAAAACAAAAATAAATAAAAAGTCAAGAAAACCAATCTCATTATTCTAATTGGTTTATTTAATTAATATTCGAATCAATTTGTATCATAAAATAAATTTAAATGTCTATGCAATGAAAAAAAAAAAAACTTTAATATATTAAAACCTTAAAATTTTTTATGTAATTTGTCGTATTTAATTATAGTTATTATCTAAATAGATTTAGATCGTACCTAAGTGCATGCTCTAATAATGACAATCGACTTGGCTTTAAAAACTTGGGTTACGATGATTAAATGATACTTTACTAGTATAATTTTTTTTGTGTTATGTTTATACTAATAATTATATTATAATGTTAACATACATAATTTAAAATAGTATATTATGAGACATAATGTATAATTAACTTAGGTAAATACTAGAATACTCTTTCTATTTTATACTACTATTTTTTATTGACTCGGGTATTAGAATACATATATTATGATAAAATATAAGTATTGTTGTTTGCTAGTTTTGTAGATAAAAATATATATAGCTAACTTGCCATCTTAATAGTATAATTTTAAATAATCATATTACATGTCATCTTAATAATTAATTGAGACTTAACTATAAACTTAAGTAGGAATATAAATATCTGATTACTTAAGTAAGACCTTAAATTGTTGGATTATATTGATAGATAAATAAATACTAGCTTAAGTACCTAATAATATTTAAATATCTATTTAAATTCAAGTTCGTGTTTGAATTTACTATTTTAATTAAAATAAAATGTTATTTAATTAATAAACTTTAAATTTATTATTATTGAAGTTGTCAATTGATATTACAAATATTTTATATAATATACAATATATGTATTATTTTTAGAGTATGCTTAACTTTTAATAACTCAAAAATTCAGACGTATTAATAAATAAATAAAAAGAAATTAAGAAAGCAACGTGAACTCAAACATGTTATTATAATTCATGTGATATTCGATATAAATAATATATTGTTTTAAATAATTTCTTAGTAAATTAATGATTTAATATTATCTGTAACGTTTTATAGTAATGATATTATTAGATTCACAAGATGCAATTATACATATACATGTATATGTACAAAAACAAAAGATACTGTTAACTTTAGTAACATAAAAATTAATTTTTTAAAAGTATAAAATAATTATTGATATACATGAATAAATATATATATATATTTTTAAATATAAAAAATATAAAATGGAAGTTGACAGTCGGGTGCGGGATGATGGCATTTTCGTAATTAAACTGTTTGATTCTCATGCAGGAGTAACCCAGTGATTCCCCCACATCAAATCAATCATTGTTACCCGGAAAAAGAAACTCTGTAATTCCACACATCAAATAATTTCACCATTAATATCCCTCCCACTTCTGCTTCTCTTCCACATTCCACATACAGAAAAGTCCAACAAGAATAATCTATCTGTTGCCGTTGTGTCAGTTCATTCTCCTTGGATTTCTCTCTTTCTTCCGACAATCTCTCTGTCTGTGTGTAAGAAAAGAAAGTCGTCGGGAGGAAGAAGATGGAGCTCGTGCCATATTCAGAGGACGCAGAAGCGAAATCCAGCTCCGATAATGTCGCATGGCAAGACATGTTCCGATCTGCGTCAGTTCGCAAGCCTTCACCGGACCCATCTCTCCCGCCTCCTCCTCAGTCCAACGTGCCACCCAAACCACCGCGGGCAACGCCGAATTCCACCGATTCAGATCAGAACCCGGCCTTCTCCGGCGACCCGCAGTTACGCCTTGCTATGTATATAGCCATGGCTCATGCTGGTTTGGCTTTTTCTATATTCATTCTTTACATGGTTGGCAAGCTGTTGCAAGAGTATCTCCGGCCAATTCAATGGGCAATCTTATGTTCCATTCCGTTGAGAGGTATACAGGATACCCTAGTTGGATTTTGGAGTGAACCTTTGAAATTAGGGCTTACCGAGACTGTACTTGCTATTCCTGTTGCCGTTTTCAAGGTTTTTATAGGTACACTTGGGGATATTAAGGATGTTTTCTTGAGGGTTTTTCTGAAAAGATCAAAATCTAATAGGCCAAGACGAAATCGAAGTGGGTTTTCTAAGTTGCTTAGATGGCTACTTTCATTTGGGGTATTTATAATTGCTTATGAGAGAATTGGGTTAATTGGATCCTTAGTGATTCTTGTTTTGGGATTTCTGTGCAGTACCAAAAATGTAGATTCGACAATGTCTGCTGTGTCATCTTTTAGGAGTAATAGCTTTAGGCGGATGCCGGTTAGTGCTTTTTTCACTAGAGGGCTATTGAAGAGGTTGAACACCATTGTTGCAGTTGGGTTGATTGTGGGCATGATTCTGGGGTCTTTGGTTGGCATGATGTTTTTCTCTTATAAGATTGGAGTGGAGGGGAAGGATGCCGTTTTCTCGCTGAAATCACACGTTGAGAAAAGTAATTATGCAGAGAGAATTGGTATAAAGAAATGGATGGAAGAGAATGATGTGCCTGGAATGGTAGATAAGTATACTACCCAGTTCTACGAGACAGTGTATGATCAGATAGATACATTAGCGATGCAATATAATGTGACAGAATTCGTGACTGGCATTAAGCATTTTGTGATTGCTTCCCCTGCCGGTGCCTCACAGCAATCTACAGCTTTGATAAGTCCCTCTCCTTACACTCAGAAGCTGTTGAGCCTGAGAAAGAGGGTCAGTGACAGGGAATGGGCACAGATTTATGCAGAATTAGATGCAATTTTTAGGGAGTTGATAATCACCCGAGAGGATTTACTCGAGAGGGCAAAAGCATTTGCTGTCCAAGGCATGGATGTTTCACAGCGCATTTTGGCTAGTAGTGCATCAGTTTTAGGCCATGGGACAAAATTCATGTTCTCTATTGGGAACTCTATTCTTTATGGTGCTGCGGAGGTAATGAACTTTTTGTCTCAGTCAATGGTTTTCTTCTGGGTTCTATATTATCTTATCACATCTGAGTCTGGTGGCGTAACGGAACAAGTTATACGAATGCTTCCAATTTCACAACCGATAAGGATCAAATGCGTTGAAGTTATTGATAATGCTATATCAGGGGTTCTGCTTGCTACGGCAGAGATTGCTTTTTTTCAGGGATGTCTAACATGGCTTTTGTTTAGATTATACAAGATCCACTTTTTGTATATGTCGGCTTTACTTGCATTCCTCAGTGCTCTGTTGCCAATTTTTCCACCTTGGGTTGCAACAATTCCTGCAGCCTTGCAACTTGTGCTGGAGAGTAGATATATAATGGCTATAACCTTGTCTGTTATTCATCTTGTGCTTATGGATTATGGTGCATCCGAAATTCAGGAGGAATTACCTGGTTACACTTCATATCTCACTGGGCTTAGCATCATTGGTGGTATGACATTATTTTCATCTGCCCTAGAGGTAAGTCTGTTCAATGTTTTTCCTAGTTCTCATCAATTAGACAGCATGAAATAAAAAATTAGGCTCCATTTTCTCCATGAAAACTAGAAAATACTTTTTAAGGTCAAATGCTTTCACATAATCAACAGGGGTGAAATAATGGGGTTATACTGACAGGTTGTCATGATCTGTTTAAAGATCGAATGAACTTCAAGAGATATATCATTAACTTGAAACTGTTTTCTTGTACTGGCAAATATTGTTCGGGAAGCTGCATTGTGTACCACGTCTTAGATTCCTGTTTTTTGGCTTTTTCTGCTTAATCATAAGAATATACGTGTTAAGTCAGATAGTTAAAGGTTATTGGTTAAAAAGTTATATTAGTAGTCTCTCTGACTCCTCAACTTCTTCTGGATTACCTTGATTTTGAGAATGATGGGCCACAAGAATCTCCTAAAAGTTTATGAATGTGATCACAAGTTAAGTGCATCTCTTGATTCGGTATTATGCTGAGCATCATTGGTGTTCTAACTCGTGTCGGATCTTCACAGGGAGCGATTATGGGCCCATTGATAACCACAGTTGTGATTGCTCTCAAGGATTTGTATGCTGAATTTGTTCTGGACGAACCGAAGAAAAACGACTAGCGATATCAGTTGAGATTCTGTCAATATGTCTATACACACTCTCAATTCATTTGTTTCGCAGCCGAGTGGACACTCCATGTATATTAGCTTGTGCTGGTTCTGGCAACTGAGAAAAGATAGTGCATGGCTGCCAAAGTTTCAGGCCATTCTTTACCCTGCTTCTCCTAGTCCTCTGCCCACATGGTGTATTTGTCCTAGTTTAGTTTAAATCAGTGATTAGTGTATTGGGTTTCCTTCATTGTATTGAGTTTCTTTCTTGTTCAAAGCAATAAGAAATGTACTTTTCTATATCTCATAGATGTAAGATTTGTGCAAATGCCGAGTTTGAAATATGTAAATGCATGTTTTTCTTTTGGGTAAATACTTGGGAGTTCCTCAATTTTTATTAGGAGAGTGGAGTTTTCTTTTGAGTAAATTAAAAATAAAGTTCTTGAAGTTTGATACTTGTTTTTTATTTTTTATTTTTGTTATGATTTAGTTCTTAAATTTTTTTATTTATTTTAAACATTTTGATTGATTAATTAAATTAGTCATTTGAATGTTTTAAAAAGTAATTTTGATTGATTAATTAAATTAATAAAAATTAATTATTGTTATTAATTTATCAATATTATTAATTTAATTAGTTAGATAAATTACTCTTTAAAATTAGCCCATAAAATATCAAAATATTAGCTAAGTATCTTAACTTTTTTATTATAAAATAAAAGTAAAAATTCAATGAGAAAAATATTAAATATAAAAAATGTAATAAATGATAAAATTTGAAATTAACTTAATAATTTATTTTTTAATAAATATTTTTACTAAATTTATTATTATTTTTTTTAAAAAAACACACCAGCTAAAAATAAATAACCAAATTGTAACCAAAAAAAAATATTAAACATCAAATTATAACAAATACTAAATTTTAAAATTAATCTAATAATTTACTTTTTTAAATAAATATTTTTACTGAATTTATTATTTTTTTAGAAAATAACAGTGGACTTATTCTATAAACTCAATTGCTTATTTGCAGAATATATTTCTGGCTCAGAAATATTTTTATATAAACTGAGATATTTATATGTTATATTTAGAACAATTTGACAAATAAATTTAGTGTACAAAGATTAAACTATCCTAATTATACCATACTGACCAACTAGGGCTTACACTTTGCGGTGATATAACAGTAGGCAAAGATGTTAACATCAAGAATTGGGAACAAAAACAAAAGCAAAAACTTTGCTCATTTTCTGGCAATATAAGTAGCATCTAATACTTGAGAGAGCATGTGGAGTTATGAAAAGAAACTACATATATACAGAAATTAATGCAAATAACTTCTTGTATGCAACAAGATCTCAGTTTCAGTTACCACTGGTACTTCTCCACAATGATAAACTAGGAAATTGCGACACTAGCGAACCCAAGAATCCTGAAGAGTGCGTTTCCTTTTCCTTTATTTTAGAATCCAAATCCCGCCAGAACTTGATGATATGCAGGTTCTCTTCCTCTGTTGATCTTTGAACAACAATTCTCGCTGCGTACCCCTTTTCTCTCATTTGGAGACATATCTCCGATGGATTATTTGTAGTTAGTGTAACCAAATACAACCAGCCTTTCTCTGATAGAAGATGGTCAACAATGGGTAATATCTTATCAATAACGCTCCTGCCATTTTCGCCTCCTGCCCATGCAGATACAATTCCTCCACGACCAACTTCATCTTCGGGTGTTGGCACATATGGTGGGTTCACGACCATAACATCAACTGAGCCAGCCAGGCGTTCCTCCAAACCAGATGCAATGTCAGTGCATATTAACTCCGCATGAACTCCATGTGCTTGCAGTGTCTCATGAGTTACTTTGACAGCAAAAGGGTTAATATCAGTGGCGATGTAATATGCTTCTGGAACCTCTTGCCCCAATATAAGAGCCAGAGAAGTGATAACATATCCACTACCACAACCCACTTCCATGCACAATCTTGGACGGTGCTCTATGAGGTTAGTTCGGTCAGCTAGAAGTGCATCCACAAGTGCAAATGAATCATCACAAGGTTCATAAACCTCAGGATGGGAACTGACAAGACGGATTTGGGCAATCCTGGAGGCCATATTGTGAAGGACAGATCTATAAGAATCCTCTAGAGAATAAGTTTATTCAATCAAGCTTGCCGCTCCTTGTTCTCCTATTTCTTTTCTTTGTTATCCCTTCTGCTTCCAATATACAGCCACAAATGGAGCTTCCCTTTGCTTTCTCTGGGCCTTGATTCCAGCACTCCCTACTTAACAGCAATTTCAGCCTTAAAATTAAGACTCGACAAAAATAGCTATGGGATTATAACCCCATTAATTAAAACTTTAAAAGAAGGGAATGCATGTAGAGTTCTCACATTTGATATAATTGGCCCTACAAGCTCATAGAGCTCCATTATTAGACTCACAGCTACCCAAGTTTCAAATGGAAGAGTAAATTTTTGCCCAAAAAGATACAGGATGTGGGGAAGAGTAGACCGAGCAAAAGATAGATTTGGATAAGAAAAAGGAAGAAATTTTTCCGAGAGACTGTTGATTTTGATTTGATACAGCACTTGGAATGTGCAAAAGGGAGAGGAAAGTTGTCATTATTGGAGGGAATGTTGAGTTGGAGCAGAGAAAAAAGAAGCTTTGCTATTAGTTTTTATTTTCTTAAGATTTTTAATGTTAAAAAGTGACAAGAGAGATTTGGTTGGAAACAATTATGGACAAGAGAAGGGAAAACAGCAGGGAAGAAGTTTTTTCTTAAAATGCTGTCGGTTAAAAGGTGTTCTTTATAAATTAATTGTGAGAACACAGGGGTAAAATGGCCATGGAATTAGTGTTTTTGAGGTTGGCAAATGTCAGTAGAGATGTCTTTTTTTCCTCTCTATCCAAAGGTGAAGATAAAGTGAATCTAAAAGGCACTGGTATATATATGCAGACAGGGTATCATGAATCCAATATAGCTCATTGGCTAGCAAGGGAACCACACATCGCTTATGGAGATTAATATACTGAATAACCCACCTCAAGAATTAAAGGATAAGCTTTTAGAGTATTTGTTTACCACAGCATATTAAGAAGATAAAGTTTGAGATGTATTGATATTAAAGGCTTTTTTTTAATCATTTTGTAAAAAGAAAGATAACAATGCACATGGAGAATCAAATAACTGACATACCAAACGAAAATAAACAATTGTGTGATGATTTTAATTAAATCACACCCAAAAGAAAGAATATACCATATTTTTTACATATTGTACCATTTAGTTCCTTTTTATTTGTAGATCTTAGAACGAACATCTTTTGCCACACTAAAAACCCCATGAGACTAGCCGACATAGCTTGCTACACAACTATCACAAGCTACATAAACTCACCAAAGTAGAGAGTTTGTATCATGTATGGTAGACCTACTTATCATCAACAAATCTTAATTTAAGGATAAGATGGTATTTCCGTGAAACTATACCATTTCTATCCAAGAAAGCAAGACTGTCAGTTCTAAACTAGCAGATCTAAGTAGAACTGCTCTTCCATTAATAAGCACAGACAACCAATAACAAAGTTTCTAGTTATCATGTAGTAATCCAGACTTCTAATTAGTAATGCACTAACAAAGACACAGTCTTCTCAATGAAGTGCAATCTTTATTCGAGAAAATTGACCATCTCATATCTCTCCACCAACATGCTGAAGCTATTAGCAAAAAGATTAACTGTTTTTCCTTTTTATGTTTTTCTTCTAAGAATGTAACAAAAGCATAAGATTAGCTAAAGGCTTGGATATACCATAAAGTGTTTCAAACTAGAAACATCAAATAACTTTAAGCTATACATAAAACCCGAACAGATCTGCAAACCTCAATGAAGGCAAAACATTATCAAACTACACCAGGATTGCACAAGACACAATTTTATAAGCAACAACAATTATTATCATGACATATGGAGCTTGAATTAAGCAATCAACAATAATTTATAAATCAAATTTGGGATAAAATTAGATATATGATTGAAACAAACTAAATGTGACTGCCCTTACCCAAGTATAACTTTCCAAAATCTCTTGTATCAAAAACACATTAAAAACTTTGTTTATGTCTCCACTAACTAACTTCTATTCACCCTGCAAGATATTCGTCAAAAAAAGCATGAGGCAACAGAAACAAAAAAAACACCTAACAAGAGAATAACAAACAAAATGAAAGGAGGAATCCAGAAAGATAGATAGCTGCAAGTAAAATATCATAGTCTATGGAGATAAAAAGGACAAAATATAAACTTGAGAAACTTTTGAATAAAAAGTTAATACCTATTTTATGATATCCCCAAAAAATTAACAAAGTCCTTCATCCAACATAAGAGAAAGTCGTCATTGATCCTACTGGAAGTAGGAATGAGGATCAGGCAATAAATATTGACTAGTCTTAGAACTCATAGTCAAAACCAATCCCATTGGAAGTATGAATCAAAATTAGGCACTAAAGATTGACTAGTCTTAAAACTCAGGGTAAACGTACAAAGTGAGAAGGTTTGAGAAAATACAAAGTGTAGTATAGGCTAAATAACTAGGTAATACATGCATTTTTCATGTTCTATCTATTATGCAAGTGGATGATTGAGAAATAAAAACTACTGAAATAAATAGTCAAATAATTACGAACCAAAAGTAAATCAAAAGAACACCCAGATCCCACTAAGCTTGGGGTAAATGCTTGCTAGCCCTACAATTAACACACACACATTAGTCTCAGCATGTATGGCACAGAAGGAACGGGATAAGATGAACTCTAACTACCTACATTAACACAAAGAAGCCTACACAATATTTTAACTGCTCTTTATTATACCTTCAAATAACTGATCACCTCATCAAGGCAGCCTGCTCTCACAGCATGATACAAAAAACTGCGGCATGGTTTCTTTATCAGTGGAGTACACATACATGCAAACCTTATATGGAGGAAATGATGACCATTCTAATCTATGTGGAAAAGACTCACAGCAAGAAGACAAAAAGTAAATGTGATCTCATCATAATGCCATAGTCTCATGAAAAGAAAGAAGAACAGGTCATGCTAATGAAAAAGAAAGGACCGAGGCAATGACCTTCCCCCTGCACATAAGCCAGAACCATTTTCATAGTTTTTTTAGAGCCATCTAATTGTTCTTACTGATCATGGCTTGCCAAATAATCATTTATCTTTTCATCATCCATAATATGTATACTATAAAACAAAGAGAAAGAACCCTTAAACCATAGTTGCTTTTTCTTGTAGGCCGTAGATAGGATGACTTGAATAAACAAAAATCAGAGACCAAAGAGATAAAGAAAGCACACCCAAGGTCAAGTGTCTCCTAGGATTCTCACCTGAGTACCAAGGTAGCAAAACCTTGGAGCGTAATACCAATAAGTTTCCATATGCAGATCCTAATCCAGCAATGGTACACAAACCTTTGGCAGAATGAAGGCAAATGCAAATTTGCATGAAAAGGAGGAAAAAGAAAACAAACAGAAAACAGCAGTACAATTATAACCACGTGACAACATAATAAATTCAGGAACAAGATGAAGTTATCTGAGAGAGACTCAACAAGCTTTTTCCAAACTTCAATGAAACAGTTAATATGCATGAGAACTAGGGACGAGCTGTTGCCAAACTACAATCGTGTACACAACATATTCACTTCCTACTTGCTTAAACGCATTAACACAAGGTGAAAAAAAAAAAAAAGACAGCTAATATACTACGCTCAGTTCCTTGTATCGCAAGGAAGCATCAAGGTATAAGCTTCATAATTAAAACAAGGCATACATCTCAATCTGTTGAAATTGGAGGAAGGAACCGAAAAGAGAAAAGGGTTTAGTTGTACCGTTTAGTTTGAATATAGTCTGCCCTTCTTCCCTCTGGTTCGCCTCCACCGGAAGCCCTCTCTTTTCTCCTCTCTATCTCCCGATTCTCTTTCTTCGAGTTTCTGTCTCTTTCTCTTCCCCCATCAACTCCCCTTCTACTCTCCTCTTCTACTCTTCCTATGAAGCAAAGACTCCTCAAATTTCCCAACCAAACCCTTCCCCCCACCTCCTTTTGTTTTTTGTTTTTTTTCCCTCTCTTAACCTCTGAAATGCCTAAGCCCCGATTCTCGCTCTTCGAGTTTCTGTCTCTTTCTCTTCCCAGTCAACTCCCCTTCCACTCTCCTCTTCTACTCTCCCTCTGAAGCTAAGACTCCTCAAATTTCCCAACCAAACCTTTCCCCCCACCTCCTTTTGTTTTTTTCCCTCTCTTAACCTCTGAAATGCCTAAGCCTCGATTCTCTCCTTTTAATCCCTCTCCTGGTTTCGACTTTTCCGTTCGTCCTCTCTCAGATTTTATCCTCTGATTCCTCCTTCTGTTTGTCTCCGAAATCCCTACCCCGATTGTCTGCTTCCCACTCCTCCAACTCTCAATTTCTTTTCCACCTTCTCTCAAACCAGAACAACCCTCTTTATAGCCCAAACTCGAGCTCCTCTGCCACGACGTTAGCCTCCAATCAACTCAAGTCCCTGACGCAACTGCTCTGTCGAGTCATCTTTTGATTCTGCCTCAGTGCCATCCTCCAGTCAGCCACCAGCTGCGGCTGCTTCTCTGCTTCAGACGCTTCCTCCAGTCAATGCCCCACCATTTGTCCTTCGCTTCTCATCAGACCTCCTCCTTTTTGTCACCTGCTCTTCTGGCTTCCTACTTCATTCAGTCACAGCCAACTTCAGATCCCGCTTCAAATAAACCACATATAAACGGTGCCGTTTGGAGTCTCAAACTGGCGGGCTTGTGCTAGCCGAATGGGCTGGTTTTATGGGTTGGACATGGGCTTTTGGGCTTTTATTTATCTGGGCCGAATTTTGGGCTGTTTTGGTGTATGGGCCGCTAAAATTTGGTTTTGATTGGAATTGGGTCAGATAAATTTGGGTTAGAAAATGCGTTATGTAAATGTGTCATAAAAAATAATAATAAATTTTTAAGATTTAATTTTTTATTCTTAAATTTTAGTTAAAGTAATAATAAAAATTATTTCAGACAAAATAAGGGTATTACATATGATAACTAGCAAAAACAAAAAACACAAATAAATCATAAAATATAAGATATAGAGAGATCTGAGGCTTAAGTTAAGCCCTATTTTAAGATTCATTTTTTGTAAAAAAAAAAAAAATTATAGAAACAAAGATGAAAAAGCAAAAATTGATCTTAGTCGAGTCGTGTCTTTTTACAAATGGTGTTGTGGGCGTTCCCAATTTCATGCAACAAGGTGTCAAAACAAACCTTTTTTAGAAGATAATTTTACTATGTTGCAAGTAGTTTTTGTTGTGTATAATAATTACATATTACGGAAATTAGATGATGTTCGTGTCAATACCAACTTACTCTCGCGTTCATAATTTTTAAAAAGTTTTCGAAAATATTTATGATTAATCAAATTATGAAAATATTAAAAGGACAATAAAATACCCATTTCTTCTATCTAGTTAATATTGTTACAATCTAAACCAAATTGTTATGTGGTTCTTTTAATTATTTTTTTTTTTTGAATATAAAGAAAGAGTAAATAAAACAATATAAGATCTAAATATTGTACATTCTAGATTTAGAAACACCAATTTATAATGTTTAAAAGTGTTGCAGATAGATGACTCTAGAACTGATAGCAAAAAAGAAATAAAAATATTTGATTACCCAAAATGGTACATACAACGGTTTCTTTCTTTATAGATATAGTAGATCTTAACGTTTTAATCGCACTTTAAATAAATCTGTATAATTTAAACCAAATAAGAATCAGCGTTGACGTGAACTATCTTAATGTTCATTATTTAAATCAGAATTTAAACAACAAAAGTACTATCCATCTCAAAGAATAACTTTACATTCATTTTTATAAGCCCAAAATGTGCATGCATTTCCAAGATTTACCACAGTATGCATCCACACAAAAAAACACACAAAGACATAAGAGACATATGAAATTAAGACACTTATCACAAAATTCTCACCACTAATATATAGCACCTCCCTAAATAGTTGTTGTACATTGAAGGTACCAAACAGATTGCCTTATAAACCCTACTTTCATGAATCCCAAAATAATTTTCAGGATCAACTAACATACAATTCGCCATGCATCTGGTTCAAAAGATTACCACCAGTCAGTCAGTCTCACTAAAATCTGAAGTTTATCTAATCTTTAGGTTTATTTTAGATAAAGAAAAATAAAACTTGGGCTAGTTTGGACACGCTGTTTTTTCCAGCCATATAACCAAACAACACCTAACAATATCTTATGGACTCCCCTTCTCCCTTTTCTCCTTCATCAGATGTAAACCCATCACTTGAACTGACCAAACGGGTCATATTCGGGCACGGAAGACCCGGATGTCGACCCATCAGCAGACCCGGATGTCGACCCATCTCTGTAGTACCCACCTCCCATCATGGCTGGAGCAGAAGGGTCATAGAATCCGTGGGGATAATTATAATGAGATGGACAATAATACTGATGACCCATCAATAGCGGCGGGGGCGGAGGGAGGGGCGGCACGCCATAGTCAACGCCACGCCTCAAAATGGGGTGGTCGGCGTGATCGGCGGCGGTTCGGATGGAGGAGCCGCCGCGGTCGGACTCGCTCTCGCGGTAGCGGGAAAGAAACAGAGTGAGCGGGTCGATGTAGTCGTCGAACCCGAGCTTCCCCATGGCCCAGAGCAAGTCCTCCGCGGTAATGGTTTTCCGCTGCTCGCGCTGGCAGCGCTCGTTGGCTTCCCCGGTGATGAAGCTGATGTACTCGGAGACGCATTCTTGGACGGTTTCCTTGGCATCGTCGGAGATTTTGGCGTGCGGTGGGAGGATGCGGCGCATGATGCGGATCACGTTGGCTATTGGCATGTACTGGTCTTGCTCGCGGATCACGTAGTTTGGAATAGCAGGAGGAAGAGGTGGCAGCATGTTTGGAAGAGTAGGGTTGCCATTGCTGATGATCATGTCAGTGGTGTTGGTCACATCGCCGGAGCTCAAGCCTGAGATCAAAACAGTATACAATATGTATGATATATCAATAGATATATATACGTGTATCATATCGTGCTCACCAAAGCTTCTTACTTCAAGTATCAAACAGAGAAAGTACGTTTTTTTTTTCTCAACTGGTTAAATACCCAGTTCAAAATGTTTATGGGAAGCCTCAAACCAGAACAATATACAACATATATGATATATCCATAGATATATATGTGTATTATATCGTGCTCACCAAAGGTTCTTACTTTAAGTATCAAACACAGAAAGAAGGTTTTTTTTCTTAACTCGGTGCATACCCAGTTTAAAATGTTTATGGGAGGTGTATATATATATATATATGTGTATATTTATATGTAATACCATGTGTATCGTTTGTTTCCAATGGCGAGAAAAGAAAAGCCAATTGGACTGGTTGGAAGACGACAAGGATTTTTGAAAGGGGAAACGAGAAGCGTTACTAGGTGAAACCACGCGCTCCACTGACATCACGTGCCAACTCGCGCGTGTTAATAACTACTGTGGGACCCAGTGCCAGCCGACACCACCACATTTTACTGTTGGGATTTCTTTTGGTTAGTTTCTTGTTGACCACCCCAGAAAGTCAAAAGGTTTTCTCTCTCCCCGTTCTCACTTCTCAAGGCCTATTTAGTTCACCTCCATTTTCCAACTCACTCAAAAAAGTAAAGTCTCTTTTAAACAAAATAAAAAATAATTTGTTTGATTAAAAAATGAAATATTTAATTAATTTTAAATTGGGAAAGTGAACTGGGTGTGGAAATTATATAAATAAAAAAGCTTTAAGGGAGCTACATATATACATACATATATACACCCACACTGTTATATAAATCTTTGAAAAAGATTAAAGACTGCATACATCCATGGATTGGTAGGCCACAGAATGCAGACCCCTGCATGCAAGCCATGTAATTCAAAGAGAAACATACATATATACCAATATATCCACAAATCTCTATATGTATATAAACCACAAAACCAAACAAAAATTTGAAGAAACTTGAAGAAGAAGAAGAAGAAGAAGAAGAAGAAGAAGAAGAAGAGGAAAATGTAGAATACCTGCTCTATGTGGGTCTATATATGCACCCAAATGTCGTCAGAAACGTGTGCCAAATGCATCCATACACACACACACACACACACACACACGATTTATATCTATATCACATACGAACATTCTGGATTAATTAACCCCCAAAGATCTTTTAAATCTCCAAATATTAAAGAGAAAAATGAAAAGAAAGAACAGTAAGGACCAATCTATTTATTTTTTTTCTCGGGAAAAATTAAAAGCAAATTGCATGCAAGAAATCGATACAAAAGAATAGATCAGTTCCGATCAAAGCCGGGAGTTGTTTGACAAAACCGATCAACGAAACCGGCGCCGTTTCTGATCAGAAGAGAGCTGTAACAGATACACACACACACATATATATATAGGGAGATAAGAAGAAGAAGAAGAAAAGAGAAATGAAGATTTTACCAGGTGAAGGTGAGTTTGCATGCTTTTGATAGCGAGATGGCGAACCTTCACTTCCACGTTCCATTCTTTCTTTCTCTCTCTCTCTCTCTCTCTCTCTCTCTCTGATTTTAAATTTCTTTTTCTTTTTAAATTTCTCTGCTCTTTCTCTTTCTCTCTCTTATAAGCTGTCTCTTGAATGGGCACCAAGCAGATTCCTACTCCCACCACTGGGATTTTTATAGCAGCTCTCTTATTTTACACATGCCTCAACCCCATGATGTCAACCTGCTATTGCCGGTCACACACCCTTCTCTTTACCCTTTTCAACCGGTAACACCGCAAGACTCACATTCTTCTCTATGGGCTTCAAAACTACCTCATATTATATATATATATATATATATATATATATATATATATATTTATTTATTTATTAGTAGTGTGGTAAAAAATATCAAATCAAATCTATTATTCTAAAAAAAAAAAAATCTTTTAATTCACAGTCAAATATTTTATTAAAATTCTATTTCTAATGCCTTTCCTTTTAATTATTCTAATTTATTACATATTTGAGTAGTCATATTCTATGTTTATATCTTTCTATAACTTTATTTTGTATATCAAGTCTATGTTGATAATTTCATATCATATATTATTTTATCTTTTTCTGAAAAAATTCGATTCGTACTAAATATAAGATCCGATGTTGTGAGTGACAATAATAAAGTAGATAATCTAATTATTTAATCGAATCTATCTTGATAAGACAGGTAAACGACAAAAACATTAGTTATATGATTGAAAAGAATAAAATTTCTTATATCTCTATAGTTCATAATGTGTCGTTATATCAGATGCCGCGTGTTTAGCTTTTACTCTCGTGCTTTACTTATAAGTTTGTGGATATAATCTAATATATAAGAGTATATTTTTTTGTATAAAATAATCTTATGCAATCTTGTATTTTTTCGGATAGATATTCAAACCGTTACAATATAATGTATTTGATGTTTTTTCTTGCAACTAAAATGAGGAATGTATGCTAACTATATATATTAACCAGAGGATTGGTACTTCTTCCTCCTTTTTGAAGGTGTGGGTCGAAATAATGGTTTAAGGCCTCTAAATTATCTCTTTAATGGCAAATCCATTAACTACTTAAAATGAATTATCTAATCTCGTAACGTCCAAACTTATAGCAAGTATATATTGTAACGACCCCATAAATACCAAAAGAAAATAAATAATAACTTAAGTGCAGAAGCGAAATAAAAAGGTTAAGATTTACATTCCTTGTACAATAACTTAAAAGTACTAAATAACATTACGGAATTCACTTTTTTGAAAGAAACACAAAAAATAAGGAAATAAATATAAAAGAGAAAATATCTAGCATCTACTCGCACTCTTTTTGCGGATCGGACTCTGAAATCTGGTCCTTTTGATCTGAAATGGTTAAATAAAGAATGAGCTACATTAGCTCAGTAAGGATATCACACTATATCACCGACACAGAAATAAAGGTGGGTATAAAACTAAAACAACTAATGGAGCACTTAATTTAAACCAATACATTTATTAAAAATAAAATCATTTACCGTTCACTTATCATAGTAAGATTTATAGAAAATAATAACATAACACATATCATAGTTTCATATGCAATCAGTCAGAACAACAATATAGTACATATCATAAATCTATACACATCGTCAAATAACCAAACAATAACTGTCACATTTTCACCAGTCTGCTAGTATCCATGGGGGTTCATAGGGATGTCCCCGCTACACGTAAACTATTTTTTTTAACAATTTCAATTACGGGTCGTTCTCATACCACGTCCGGTATGAGTGCCAATTTATTAAACCTCAATACCCCATCCGGTATGAGAGTGAAGCGAGTCGTCTCCATACCCTGTCCAGTATGAACGCCAAATCATCAAGTCTCTATACCACGTTCGGTACGAGAACAACGTTTACGGTAGGGCTCCCTATGTACTCGGTCCGTCCACCATCTCTCAAGATATCTAGTAAGATTGTTATTCGATCTGTTTATTTAATCACACAATTTTTTCGTTTTCCTTTAGTCTCCATTTTTTAAATCAACAACGATCACATAAGCAAACAAACATGCATCAAGGAATGCAACCATATCCCAATTTCTCAATCAAACAGTAGTTACGTAAGGCAACAATTCATGCATTCAAATCATAAAAGTGATAAACCAGATACCATCATGCTTTTAGACTGTAAAATAAGTAAATAGAAATCAATAAAGAATAATTTCTGGTTCAGTCTCTATTAGCAATCTTTAATTAATTATGCACATTTATTTAATTCACACAAAATATCGTATTATTATTTATTTAGACTTCAATTCTATGATAGGGAATAGGGTGATGGATCCTTACTCGATTTGACGCCCGAAAAGCTAAATTGTTTCCTGCGTCTACGGGCAGTCCCTTGGTTCCCTGAATTTTTCTTCGGGAATAGAAACACTCTAATAGTACTTATAAATGTTCTAAATAAACCCAAAATCAATTCTAGGGCACACTCGGCCAATTTTGAAATTCTGGCACGGCGGCTCCTCTGTGCTCCGACAATGGTGCCGCCGCCCACGGGGGCGATTTGCCTCGGATTGACCGTTTTCGGCCGATTTGCATCGATCCCTGCGAAAAAAGACATTAAAGGGTCTCGGTTGACCTAAAAAATTGAAACTCACCGGTTGCGGGGCTCTTTGGTGCGGCGGCTCCTCTGGCTCACGTTGTGATTGAGTGTTTTACTTCGGTCAACCTGTAGAGAAGAAAATGGTGATCACAACGGTGGAAAAATTACGCGAAACAGGAATCGGGAAGGGCCTCATTGGAGGCATTTTGTGAAATTCCCCATGGCGGCGCCGCTAGATTTCGCCGGTATTTTTTGGGCCAATTGGCTGGTCTTTTTGCTTTGATTTGGCCATGGTTGAGCTTAAAATTGAATTTCGTGCAAAAGGGAAAGTTTTTACCTTTTTTGGCGGTCGAAAAGGGTTCCAGTATGGCAGCGGGTGGCGGCGATTGGCTCCCCGATGTCTGGGTCGTCTTCTCTGGCGAGGGGGTCTGATGGCTAAGGTTAGGGTTTGGTGCGGATGAGGATTATTTATATCCATTCACTTTTGATCTAGACCGTCCATCGCGTTTGATCTGGACAGTCCGATCGCGATTAAATAGGGAATAAATGTGGACCGTTCATCGCTATCCAATCTGGGTCGTCCATTAAGATTCACTCTGGGCCATCCGATCGCGTTTGAATCTGGCCATTCGATCGTGTTTAGGAGGGAGCGCATCCAGGTCGTCAGTGCTCGCAGGAACGGACCTGGGTCCTTCGATCGCGGGCACGCGGATCGCCCATGTGGCTTTCCGCGTGGCACCGCATCAGCGTCCATTGCCAAGTAGCGCGTCCTGGTTCGTCGGGACTGCTTACGGGACGTCTCACGTGGCATAATTTTTTCAAATTGCACTTTGACCCCTGTTTTCTGATTTTTCTTTCAAAAATACTTATATAACCTAAATTTTTACCCATTTTTTCTAAAATTATTTCTAATTTTATCTTCATTCAATTTTCACTTCATTTTTATTCTAAATAAAATAAAATAAAATATAAAAAATAAAAATAAATTAATAAAAATTTACATTTATTAATTATTAAATTAAAACAAATTTTTGTGGGTGTTACATATATTATCTTCAATTAATGATTCATCATTTTATCTTATTCAATAAAATACCAATTTGTATACTGTAAGGGTAACCTTTATACAAATAGGTAAATGCATTTTGGAGAGCAAAACTTTTATTATCCCAAATAACTTTTATAATGCTTGATTGAACTCACAGGAATTCCACTACAATAAAATGCCAATTGTAGTATGCTAATTGATAATTTTAATTTTTATTATTTGTAAATATATAATGAGATTTAAGATATAATAATTTATAAAAGTTTATATTTATTTACTTTTATTATTAAATAATATACATATAAATTAACATAATACAATCTAAATTTCAAAATGCATAGTTTAGCCAAATTTATAAAAGAACATATTTAAGTAATGTTTTTTTCGTATAAAAACGTAATAATCTCATTGAAATTTAACTTAAATTGCTCCTTGCAATTCAACCACTATTATTACTATTATTCTTAACACAACTATAAATAGTAATTAAATCAAGAACAGGAAGACTTATTTAGGATTAAACACAAGAGCACTATAAAATCCCCCTAATTCTTTTTCTATATAAAAAAATTGGGTATTGGCTAAAGTTAAATTAATCACACAGATTAACATCTATACTATTGCAAATACAATGTTAAAAAGCTTTTTTTTTTAATGAAACCATAAATTTGGATTCAGACATATACAATAAGAAACTGAAAATAAGGGTTGCTGGCCCTTAGATTTCAATACCAGAAAACCTGCAAAGCTGCCATTTTACTTTTCCTATCCATAGCTGGGGAGGCTGAGTGCAGCATCTACCAAAATTCACTCAGTTCCTTCCAAGTTACACAATTTGCAGTTCATGACTAATGTTTTATCATCATCGTCATCATCATTGTTCTCATTGTAATCTGTATACACAAACACGACCAATGTGCATGCCCTCATGCTCTAAGGTATCGGTTTTCGCTTACGACTTCTTGATCGCTTCCAAGATGTCCCGGTGCCATTCACACTCTCTTTTCTCCATTTCAGATCACCATTACTTACAGAATGAGATTCAAAGGTTTTGATGTTGGTTACAATTGCATAATCAGTGACTTCACCTTTTGGGGCAAGAAGGGCTTTCCTCTCAAGAAGTGTATTCTGGCAACAGCAGGATTGCTGAATCGCCACGTCTCTCAGACTTTGCAATTCAGCGTCTTTATCTAGCTTCAGGCATTCAGTTGCGACCTGCAAGTTGATGGGGGGTTAGGATAGAAAGGCGGAAGACCAGTAAAAAATCAAGGAGAGGAAATTTGACTATCAACTGGGAAGTCTCTTGGAACATATTCCCTAAATGTGGACTCTCCCAAGGCATTCAGCAATAATTTCACAAACAGGATGATGATTCAGAACCCAAACAACCTGGGTAGTCTCAAAAGGAAAAATTGCAGCAATAATTGAACTCAAACGAGTTAAGGCAATTGTGTATTGCCTGCTATTTTCAAATCAAGCTACTACCCTGTGCATACAAGATCAATAGCCGGCAATAGGTAATAAAAGACATACTACATCTGCTTCATATTCTCACCTCAAAATCAAAGGAGATATTGATTTGAGTGGACAGACAACCACAACCATCACTGAAGTTGAGCTTCAAAAAGATTTCAAACGTTTCTGCCCTTGCAGTTCTCCTAGTACAAAAGATAAACAAGATGTGAAGAACAGGGTAAAGCATCACATTGCAACAGGGCATTTGCTAATCTACAATGATGGCACATGGACATAGGAGCAATTACTATTTAAGAATAATATTATTTAAGTTATTCTTACGTTTTCTAGTTTATTTATGTTTTCTTTCCTATCTTTACCAAGAATAGTATTTCCAATTATTAGTACATTCTATTCTTATTAAAAGTTATGTTAGTTTTAAAATTTAGTTGTCAAATCCTAATCGAGAAAAGATTACTTGGCATTCTATAAATATCTTTATAGTATCTTTAAGATCATCATTCTATTTCTTAATAATATACTTGATAATTTCTCAATACTTTATTGTGTGGTTTAATCAAGCCTTTAGGTGTGATATCTAAGAACTATATGTGTGATATATAGTTTTTTATCCTCAAATTCCTAAGTAAGCAAACTGACCTTAATTTTTCCTATATCAATTAGTATCTGATCTAAAAATTCTTACAGATAAACATGACAAAATCCTTCTTAAAAAAAAAAAAACTCGAAATCACAAAACCCTAATACCAGAAACCAGCCACCAGTCAATTCACCAACCTCCATCAGTGCTAGACTTGATGCAATGCATAATGCCATTTACACAATCTTTTAGAAGAATTGAGATACATGTACATTGCACAAGTAAAGCTGCTAATTGAAAATTTGTAAGTTGCACAAGTCACTGCTCCTAATAGAGAACTATTGAAGATAATGTTGGAGTTATTATAAAGAAAGTAAAAGTCGAAGCTCTTGATTCTGATAGAATAAGAGTTGTATTTCTTCTTTATTGGCTTTACTAAGTGGAAAAATAATTCAACTTTAACTGGTATGACATGTCAGATGCATGAAGGTTAGATTTGTGAAAATTAAGTTAGTTGGACTTGCAAAAAGATAGTAGCATAGTATTGATGAAAATGTAACACGGTGAAAACTGACAGTTAAATCAGGGATGGGATTAAAGCCACTCTATGTGAGAAGTATTTACCTCTTAACTAAATTGACAAACTCCGTGATCACATTATAGTTGAAAGCAACATGTCCGTAACCGAATACACACAGACGTTTGAAGAAATAAAAATTTGAAGTCAGTAAATTGAAGCATGAGAATCAGTTCTTTGGTTGCATTATGGGCATACAATGAAGAAAGCTTATTGATTTGGTTCCTTTCCTGTTGGACGCTCATCTTAATGCTGAGGCAGAAGACTTTGCTAAATATATTCATGACATACATGTTGAAGTTAGAAAATGAATTGCTTGAAGTAATTAAGGGCATAAGAGTTTTGATGACTTCAAAGGAAACTTATTGATTTTAATCAGGGAGATATAGTTATTTTACGCATTAAACCTTGAAGGTTTCTAAAAGGAGTTTACAAAAAATTTCATGACATACATGTTGAGGTTAGATAACAAATTGCTTTAAGTAATTAAGGGTAGAAGAGCTTGATGACTTAAAAGAAGATTTGCTGATTTTAATGAGGGAGATACAATTACAGTACACAATAACTTGGAAGGTTTCCAAAAGGAGTTTCCAAAAAATTTCACTCAAAGAACATCGATCCTTACAAAATTTTCAAGAAGATTAACTTAAATGCTTGTATTCTTGACTTGCTAAAAGATATGGGCATAAATAAGTTTTCAATGTTCAAGATCTGAACTTATCTCAAGGACTGGACATTACTATTTATCATGATAACTTTTCTATTCACTTACTAGACACTATGAACCTCAAGGATGAGATAGAAGATTCCGCTGACCTCAAGAGGCTCAACTTTTCCATGCATGTTATATTCTATAATTTCAACTAGATAGAAACAAGTTTTCCCACCTGGGGAAAATTGACGATACATAGGCATAGCAGTAATTTGTTATAAGAATTATATTATTTAATTTATTTCTATGTTTTCTAATTTACTAATTTTTTTCCCAGCTTTATTAGGAATAGTATTTTTAGTTTTATTAGTAGTAGCAATTCCAACCTTCATTAGGAATACAATTTCTAATCTTACTAATCTTAGTATTTCTTAATCTAATCCAACTCAAGAAGGATTACTTGATGCTCTATAGATGTGTTTGAAATCTCCATAAGATTATCATTTAGCTATTCAATAACATACATTAAGAATTTTTTAGTACTTGATTGTGTGAATCAATTAAACCTTTAGGCATTATGTAAGAAACACAACTGGAATAATGACACCTTCTAATAAGGTGTATAAAGAAGAAAGAAGAAATTATGAAGCTAGTAGATAGGTGTACGTGTTGTATAATATGTCTTGTCTGAGGGCTTATTAGAGTGGCGAAAGTGCTGCATTATGAGTGCTGTTTTTTTTAACTACATGTTTTATTTTTATGAAGTATTATGAGTATCCGTAGGAGGAAATTAGGGAAAAACAGATGGGTAATTATGCTGTCCTGGAAAATAGTTCCAAAATAATTGCTTCTCTTTGTTCATTTGTCTATGTGCTGTATTAATGAGCAGTAGCATTCCTAGTAGAAGGAAAGGAGTAAGGCTAGAATAATTGATGTATGCAACGGGAGGCAAGATATACTTACTTGAGATCCCATGACCAAGAGACAACTCAAATTCACATGGAAGACCACATGGAAAGTCATGGCAAAACGGTAGATTATTTAGTCTTAAGAGCTTACAGCCACAAAGGAGACCATGCCTACATAAGCTTAAAGGGTTATGACCAAATTAAAGGAAAGCAAGCTGTAACTCAAGATGGAGTTCGCAGCCACATGAGAACTTATAGAGAAGCTCACGGCTTCATCGGAGAATAGAAGGAAGCTCACGGTTTCATGGGAGGAAACAATGAAGCTCATGGCTTCTTGGGAAGATCCAAGAAAACTCACGACCTTATGAGCTTTAAAGACCACAATTTAGGCCTTATAAATGAGGAAAGTCACAGCCAAGACTATTCCAAAGGAGATCTTCATGGCAAGGTCCGTCTAAGTGGACATCAAGACCCAATCCAATGCGTCTTGGACCATCCAAGCTTAAGAGGTCATGGCATGGACGGACAATGAAGATCAAGATGGTTTGGGCCATGAACAATGCCCACATGAAGATCAACAAGGCTTCGATATATCACACTGATGGACTAGGGCACCACCGGAGGAGTACTTAATGTCAAGTGGATCAAACACTAAAACATGGGTCAATAAACTTAAAGAGAACTTTTAAATATATATTAAGTGATCGATCCATGAAGAAAGGAGCCTTGAGCCATACTTGAAAAGCCATGAAAGAGGGAAAACCGAGTCCATCAAGTCAAGAGAATGAATGGATGGCAAAACAGATTTCTTTTTTAGGAAATCTCTTCCACCTGTGAGACATTGTTTTCCCACCCAAGCGAAAATCTTTTCCGACACGAGTGATTTTCTCCTTCTCCATATCTTTCTCAAATGACAAAGAAGAAACCAAGATCAAGGAATTTGAGGAATCCATCAAGGGAGAATCAAGATCATATCTTTCCAAGTTTACTAACCAAGATCAGATCTTCCCAAAAAAGTATATTCAACATGTGGGGGAAATCAAGGGAGATGATGGACAATCTTTCCTATCCTATGCATGGCCGAATATCTCCACCATATTTTCCCTTTAATATCAATCAGGGTCAGCCCTCATTTTCCTTATTCCACTCAAATCTTCACAAATCAAGTAGTTTCATCAGAGTGGACCGAATCCACATTAATTA